ATTGATCACCTTCTATTCCTATAAATTTATTTAAATTCTGTTTACTTAAAAAAAAAAAAATACCTCTATAAAATGTCCAAAAACATTATTTGTATCTAGACTATAGTATATTTAATAAATCATCCGTCTTCATCCGTATCGTAATTTATAAGTGCATCTCGTTTTTATTTGTACGATCTTAAATCAGAAATTATTTAAAATGAATTTAAAAATATACCCAGGCAGCTAATGTATAGGTTCAGTGACATTTGTATCTGTTGGTGGGTACAGGACATCACGAATTTTGTTCTGAATTCATCCGTGTCCTATTTTTTCCCCAATATATTTTGTGCAAACAAGTCAATGTACCTATTATTAGTTTAGTGTTATATTTTTTACTACGATAATAATGTTTTAATAAAACTCATACTTACGCGACAAGATATTCGAATACAACAACGATATGATTAAACTAAAATAATTTTTCTAGATTTTTCTCATTAACAAGCTTTTTAAGTAGTATCTTCCTATAAAATATAATAATATCATAAACCGAATTCAACGATTGAATATCGGACAACCATAAAATAATATTAGGTACTTATTATGTTTTTTGATTTAGAAAAACCAATTTCTAACGAGCCAAATATTATTTATTCGAAATACGAATCGTATGGCAAATATTTGTGATATTTAGCTGAGTGCAAAATATGATATGTGTGTACTGTACAACAACACTCCTTTGGAATATCCTGACATACATCACGTGCATATATACATGTATATAATATTTATGTTCACACGCGTATGAATGTGGGACAAGTGGTAATTTCGATCGTCGTTAATGCCGTTGTAAAAGACCAATCCCATTGTCTCTTTCTCGACGACGTTATGATTTAGCGACAGTCAAATATTTAACGACCCGACCTCTAATAATTATTATATTTCAATATTATAATTATATTGTGTGTACGAAGATTTCGTTCGATGACRACGACCGTAACACCTCCTCTAAATCCAATTCTTAATAAATGCTGCACGTGTGCCTACATTATTATTATTAATAATAATAATAATAATAACGCTGTAGATATGGATAACATTTTACCCGTATACCCGCGTGCATCACTGCATCCGGTAGTACAATTTAAAAAACTGGTCAAAAAACTCGAAACTCGGAACGAAATTCGAAAAAAAAAATCTTAAGACGCCGCAGCAGTCGAGAAATGCACGAATCCCATTATCCGGTCATTATTTTTTATACTCACTGTTATTATTATTATTATTATTATTATTATTATAACATAACGTATAACACATTATACCCGCGCTAGTATACTTATATACATATACTGCAGTCGTATCGCATCGCATCGTGCCGCCGAGGTGCAACAAGGTCAAGGTTGTCCGTAAACATCACGTAATCTCGGCGGACAGTCGCGATGATGACCGCGAGTGTAGTTCGAGTCTTAYATTATATATTCATGATGATAATGTTACCTACACGTGTTAAGGGGGACTCGATCGAACCCGGAGAAAACTGTACGGTGGCGTTTCAAGGATCACTCACGTTTTTTTTCTCCGTCCTCCGAGAGTTTCTCTCGCAGGACGTCCATTATATATATATACATAACTAGACCTACCAAGTATTTTATATAGCACAGTAATATTAATATATTCCMATCGATAATATCGTACGACACTTCACTCGTGTCATCACTATCGTCTCTACTATAATAAATATTATTTTATTACCGCGGCCGATACCACCAGTCGTACACGACGATATAGTGCCTCATGATGCATATGCGTACAGATGCGTACCACCAAATACYTGATTCGATCGAGCCAGRAGAAAACAGTGGTGGYGGYTTCAAGGATAACTCCCGCGCTTTTCATCGTCCTTTGCGATTTTCTCTCGCGGGTCGTCTGTAATATTTCGCTCCGAACTCCTGGTGTCAAATTAAATATTTTATAATTCGCAATCATAATTTTAATATTCCCATCGATCGTATGTCATACGAACCCCTCGTCACTCGACTGATTGATAATTCATATATTTGATATATATAATGATATATATAATGATATATATTGATATATTTTATAAGCGTTTCTGATACCGACCGCTCACGACGATAGACGACGATAGATGTACCTACAGATATAATATAGTTTATTACAGTAACAAGGAAACATATACATACCTAGTGCAAATCACTATAGATAAATATAACTAAGAATGTCCCTACACTAGAAACACCTTTGTATCATAGAATACGAGTAAATATTCATCTTTAAAATGAAAAGAAAAGAAATAAAAAAATAAAAATCGTGATAGAAAGAAAACTAAAATTGTTCTTATAGATAGTATCTGATTATGTCCCGCATAAACTCGATTTGACCGAGCCCGGACAAAAATGTACAGTGGCGTTTCAAGGATTACCAGTGTAAATTTCTTTGTCCTGTGTGAGTTTCTCTAGCGGGATATCCGTAATATACGAATATACCTAGATATTAGTGATATTACTATATTATATTTTGTACAGCTCATACGTAATAATTTTAATATTCTCATCGGCCATCGAAAATGTCGTACGATAGCGACGATTAAGAGACAATAGTGTCGCGTGATGCACRAGTACGTCGAGTACAGATCAATATACCTTCTATAATAGTCGCCTATAAGTTTTACGTCATGTGGACGTTTTATTATAATGTATTAGGCATATGTATACGATTTCTCGGGTTTTCGTCACATATACATAAAAATAATATATCGTTTATAATCATGTACGTTCCAGATACGATAKGGTCTACAAAWCAGTACCTATGTATATACGAATGTGTCAGTCGTTTTAAATTCAGATCCGGCGCACGCGTGTTATAGCCCACGTGTGTGTATTATTACAATGTAATATCGCTTGCCCGGATTCCCCMTGACCGTGTTATATAAATCTGTTCACGATTCCAGTCATGATTCATTGATATTGAACGAAGCGTTTTACATTTTCTTACCGACCATCGTATACCTAAGCCCATATAAATAAATGTGTGTATATACATTATACACACATATTCAATTCTCGAAGACTTTCCCTACTCGATATATTATAATAATGTAATTGTTTTGTTTAGACGGCTGTATAAGCAATATATATATATATATATATATATGTATGTATACACATAAATGTTGACACACTCTGAGTTTATTCTAATAATTCTTGACAGATAATGCGTCAGACGTGTATTGATGAATAAGCTGATGATGAATTTAATTGTAAAGAGGCTAGAGGCCAAGAAGATCAAAGACGATATTCTATATGAGGTCGATTTCCATCACATATTCCTGACATATGCCAATTTGACTTTCAATTGATATAAATACATAATCAATTATAGGTATTGTATTCGTACTGCTTTCGAATGTATGTTTAGTTTAAATGTTTTTTAAGTTCAATAAATTTGTGTAAGAACTACAGTATATCATATTGATTRTAYATTAATTGTGTAACGACACCGTCAAATTTTCGGCTCATCCTTTAAGGGGTACTTAAATGTAATCAAGCCAAGTTCTTAATTATTTAAATATAAATATAAAAAAGATAAAAATAAATGTATTTAAATTTAAGTAGACCCGAAACAATACGTTCTATTTTTAAAAATAAGATAAAATACATAATTATTTTAAGCTCGTCTCCAAATTAAACGAGAAAAAGACAAATTTATTTACTTAACAAATAAAAAGAAAACTTTAAAAATTAGATTTGGATTTCCAAATATGTGTCATTCATTATATCTAATATATAAACATTTATATAAGTAAACATTCTTTAAAATGAACATATATTTTTTTTATGATATAATTATAGTGATATTTTCATTTTATTTAAGTTATCATACAAAATTAAACTTACCTTAWARGTATTCAAAATTAAAAATTTAGCATGTACTTTCTTTCACTAAGGTATTTTGTTTAAATTATAGACAATATAAAATGTAAAGTTGTTATACATATTTAAATATTTTTTAATTTTACATAATATTTAATGTTTTGTTACGTATATCGTATACATTGTTAACACCAACTGTTGAAAAAAAAATCTTACTGAATCAAATTTAAAAAATATAATTATATTAACAACAAAATAGTATTTTACAATGTCATTGTACATAATGGCTTTCTTCATTAAATATTTTCGTTATGTCGCATTAAATAAAATATTTTAAATCAACTTTCTAACCTTTTTTTTTTTATTAAGTAAACACTTGGTTAAAAGAGCATACCTTAAATCCATTACTTCGTATAATAATAATAATTTAAAAAAAAAAACAATTAAAATAATAATTAACTTGGACCAAAGCTCTTGTCGCGTTCATGTCTCATAGGATTATCGAATAACTATATTATTATCATATTGCACGGTATTAATATTACGTTTTTTTTTTTTTTTTTTTTACGTAACAAACGTCGCCAAATAGGATAATATTATATCACCACAATATTGTCAGCACGTGTTTTTACTGCAAGACAGTTTGCTGCAGTTGACCCGGAGATTGGGGAAAACATCGTTTCCCGAAACGCAGTCACCGCGCGTGTGCATAGTCGTTCACCTCGGGAAACTTCGAAAAAAAAGACGTTATGATGTATCAGAGTAAAAAAGAATTCCAAAAATCTTACTTCTCTCTAAGCAACATAATGCGGAGAGGGGGAGAGGGGCAAGCCGACCACCAGGGCGGACGTAGGTGCAGGGTACGACGATACGAACCACGGTCGCGTATTCGCTTTCTACCGGGGCGAGGTCCTCCACCTCTGCCTCTACCATGTCGACAGCGTCTCCACGCGTTCGCCGTCAAAATAATAATAATAATGATAATGATTATAATATCGTTGTCGTCGCGGTGGTGGTCGACTAGCACTCCCGCGCGCGCGCGCGCTCTAACTCGAGCGTCTGGTGGGGCAGACCCGGGCCGAAAACAGCTGCGGGGCGATATATAGGGACGGCCATCCGCATTTCGCCCCATTATCGCACTGACAGTTCGTCCGTTCGCATTCAAATCACCGAAATCTGAGAACAAAATAATACTTTAACGCATACCGACGCCGCCGTCGTTTCTATACGTTTCATATCTTCCATATCGCTGCAGTAATTAACGATACTAATATTATATAAAATGCGTTTCGCGAGTTGCGCCGTGTTGGCCTTGTTGCCGTTCTGCTTGCATGCCGCTGTCGTCGTGTCCGGCGAAAACAACTACCTGCAACAAGAAGACGCACCAAAGGAGTCAACTGGAAACGGAAACTGGGCGATGGTCGCCAGAATGGCCGACGAGTGTGCCAAGGATGTGGATACGGCTGCCTGTGTTGCCGCCAAAGCAGCAGCTGCTCTGGAGAGAGCAGCCCGAGCTACCAGTTCCGTGCAAGTGTTGCCTGGTCTTACGGTAATGAAGAACACCGATGAAGGGTCGTCATCGCAGCGGGATTCGCGCGCTCTGCCCACCGAGGACGAGCTCCGTGGACAGTTGCAACAACAGCCRTCAAAGGTAACCGACATGGTAGTCAACTCAGCCATAAGATTCCTCCAGTCCAGAACCCTGCAACTTAAGTTCCCGCAAACCAACCCCGAAGAGCTGTCCCGAGCTATCGAAGAAGGCAAGTACCAATTTAGTGTATTATTATTACATTTTATCGTCGTAGTATAATAGTGAAATGTGATCGATATTGTTTTGGCTGCCAGGGCAGCGTTAAAATCTCCTTTGTTTTAATCTTTATCGTGTTCACCGCAGGCCGTGGAAAACTCAAGAAAAAGATGTTGCCAATCTTGGGATTCTTGGCCGTCAAAATCGTTGCTGTATTGCCAATCCTTTTGGGAATCATCGGATTCTTCGCACTCAAGGCGTTGGTGTTCGGAAAGTTGGCTTTGCTCATCGCCGGWCTGATGGCGTTCCAGAAGTACGCTGGTGCATCCGGTGGCTTTGGAAAGATCGCAGACACATGGAGTGCCGGTAATGTTCAAGCTAGCCCATGGGCCGCATCTGCCGCCCCTAGCACCAACGGTGGTGGTTACTACAGACGTAGCATGCAAGAGGCCCAACAGATGGCGTACAACGGACAAATTCAACCGTCCGCCCAGACCGTCGCGTAACACTACCCCGTATAAAAATGCACTTTTAACTTTACTGCAAATCACATTCTCTAAATTTTTTTCTCCCTTTCTCTCTCGTATCGAACAAATGAACATTATTTATAACGACTATTTATAGTCTTTTCATTTTTTTTTTTTTTTACATTTTTTGTAGTCTTGCGCATCAGTTATTAGATACAAATCGGATGGTGTGACATCTGCATGTTACAATAAATTATAATATTATCTTGCGAACGTGTCCATCGTCGGGAATCGACATACACCGTGTATGCAGACTCACGACGTGGATACGTTCGCAACACTCGGTATTAGATTATTGTTACTCACAGATAGCCGAGTAACTTTTTGCCATATTAGTCTTTAGTTTTCGTGAAAAAAAGACTTATATCTTATACCCAATACTGTAACCACAAAAAAGGCATCTGACGAAAAGTTACCGGCTCGTGTTTAGCCATAGTGGCTGATTTTTTTTCAAACACAAAAATAATTAGATTATTACCTGTAAACTCTAAGAGTTAATATAAAATTATATTATAAATTATTATTTTTTTAAGTTTGAGTAAGTCATCGATTTATTAACATAATATTATTATAATAATATATAGAATTACGTTACATGCCAGAATTTAAACTAAAATGTGTCATTGTAAATATTAAATACACATTCGATTATAATAATAATAATATATAAAATTAATTACTGAGTTCAAAAATGTGTATTTATAGTCCTTTGTTTATCCGTCGTATGCAGATGTATACACCTACCTACGGTTATATTTGTTTTGTTGTTCTAAAAATATGTATATATGTATAATATAATAATAAATACAATGGACCGAGGTGAGCGGTTGCAGGTTGGTCGTATATAAAAGCAGCACACACGTTTTGTATGTCATACGAGGTATGAATTTATTGTTTGATTTTGATAATTGACTTTGTATATAAGAAATATCTTATAGAAGAGAAACGTGTTACTTGCTATACGTTTCAATAGGAAGTCATGAAATCATTTTTATGGCTTCGGGTATAAATAGGAGGTGTATCTACAGTCTGCWAGCGTTATCCGTTGCTGTTGTGAATTTGACTTAATACATATATATCTTAATGTCAAGTAAGTAGAGTAACGCGCGCTTTGTAGCATTTTCTCACGTCATGTCAAACAATTAGCATAATAAACAGTTAATAGTTTAGCGATATACCGTATTGTTCTTAGGTATATAATATGTTTATATCACAACATGGTTTACAATCAAGATGAACAGTTTACGCAATTTTAGTATGTGTTAAATCGCTTGTTTGCGTTGAACGATGGTAAGTTCTATTATAATATACCATGTTGTTAATGTGAGCGTGCGATCGTAAAWTCGACCAATAACTGAGCTATATAAATAAATATATAATATAGAACGTTATTAAATAGTAATAATAATATTAAATATATGCTTTTGGTTTATTTTTACAAGTATGCCGTAATGTATGTATATTGAAAATGTTTTAAAATGGTACATAATGAACGAGCTAAAATTATGAAAATCGAATGGTTTTTTGTTTTGTAAATATAATATTTTCGATAAATTATATGAGTAGGTTATAACCTTTCGTTAGTAGTATGTTGAAAAACGTGGCGACGCGCGACGGTTAAATAGGTTGCACAATATTTACTTTTGGGATATTACTCATCAAATTTCCGTTSTTTCTATCGCGAAATTCAGAAGAATGAGTAAAAAAAAAATTGTCCGATTAGTTCATACCTATTCCATAATAATAACTATGAATACTGTATTACATATTTAAAAAAGTTTAGAAATTCAAAAATAAATTGAGTACACTTAATGAAAATAATATATCCACCAATGGTTGAATTTTATTTAAGATATAATTATATTATATATATCATGTTTTATTGATGTATAGTATAATGATATAAATTTTTCGTTTTTATATGTTTTTCACAACCCTTCTATCCTGTAACGTTCATCAATCATCACATCTTCGTGCAAGCATTTCAATTACTTAAGTTCTTTCTTAGACATAACTTTGCACCACGTCTAGTTTAGACAACAAATAGTTACCTTGTATATATTTCATAAAATGTTTTCACCTAAAAATCTGTTAATTTACTCAGTAGATGACTATAATTTTGTATTAACAATCGCTATTTTAAAATAGATTCTAATATAATATAGGTATTGAATAACGGTACTATAGAAATTATTCGTTTAAAATAAACGTGATAATGATACCTTCGACAGTAAACAAATATAAATTATAAAAATATTGATAGACATAAAATTCACTTTCTCGTAATTTATAAAATGAAAAACCATTTATAATGACTAATAATATTTGACCAATTGTATATTGACTTCCAATACCGTTTCGTTGTTAAATATCTATACTAAAAATACACTAGTGCTAAAATAATAATTTTACTGGGGAGATATAATTGTATACGTAATTAACTCATATATTTTCTTTAAAAGTTCAACTGATCATATCTTGCATCATGAATTCATAATAATATATATCTAATCAATACATAAAAGAAAATATATCGACTAATTCAATTCCGTTAAATTTATTTTTAAAATGTATTATCGTGCGTAACGTTTTCAATAAACTACGTCTATCGGTACAATAGACCAATAAGAGGTTCACTGTAAAATTTATAATAATCATTAAAATGTTACCAAACATTGAAAAAAATCTGGGTAGATAATGTTCCTTTAATACGTATTAACAACATTATTAAACAATATTGTGTTTAAAGACACTTTCTATGGAACATGGCAAAATATTATTACGATTTCCTTAGAATAATTAACACGTTTTCATAAGCTTACGTACATTTTCCTTCCTTCTGTAGCATGTTTAAAATTTTTTTTTTTTTTTGGTTTAATATAATATTATAATAATATGTTTATGTAATCGAGTACAGAAAGTAGAAGATTTCTAGAATATCAAAAAAAAAAAAAAAAATGTACGTTACGGAGTCGTATTATTTAGGTACTTATTTTTTCCGTATATAACCGACATAATATCTTGTGCAATAATTTGAACGATATAAAACAGATAATATTCATGTAAAATTCAATATCGTTAATTATACGCACAAAGTTGAATTTRTAATTAATTATATTTTATGTTTATATTATAGGTACCTACTACTGATTTCTGAAAACATTGATGTTTTATTTTTTTTTTTTTTTTACCATATTTTAAAACATATTTAATTTTTATACTTTAACACAACGTTAGATAATAATTTATAATGTATGAACTACATTATAATATTGATCTCCATTAACTATTAAAATATAATATATGAATATGGTTCTTGATCCCATAAAAATATTCATGTATATTATATATAACCTAATGTTATAATAGTTAAACATCTTATTATTATTTTCAATTTAATATATTTGTTGGTTCTAAAAATATAATATAATATTAAAGCATATTAATGTAAGTATAAAGATTATATTGTATTGCTGTAACATGAAAGTACAAATATTAATTACGTAACGATAGTATAATATATTATTTTCTATTACTATTGTCATTTTATCATGATTTAATTGATTTAATTAAAAAAGAAAATTTCATTTTCACTTGTGTGAACACATTGCCGTCACTATATTATATTGCATAGAATAATACAATAACGAATAACATGACTTTAAATATCAATAAATTGGTGGAAATTGGTAGATACTCGAACTCGGAGCCACCAGCTGCCGGACGCCTGCGCTACAACACTTGTGGCTATCGTTTGGTTTCACATTCATCTATCGATAAAATGAAGCTGACACGGAGTAACACTATGATATTCGTACCTACATATTATTTTAATATATTGTTTTTGATTGATTGATTTTCCGTCAACGATCATCGAATGCAATGCCGTTTATTTGATCGTAGTGACATGGTGACTTCAACGCCCAAACACTCGTCGTATCATCGAGACGATGTTTTACGCATATTTATGTGCTGGTAGTGCAACCAGTGCAACACTGGTAACCACCTTGCTATATAGATATATTATATAGAAAGCCACTGAGTGTGACTCGTGAAAAATTACATATTCCTTGTTTGGAAAAACCTAATTTCTTTGTCGCTCATCGCCACTTTTGTCCTGGCTCTCGTTTTTATTATTATTATTATTATTATTGTGTGTTTCCTTTTAACCGCGACTCTTTTGAATATAAAAAGAAATACATTAGTGGTTAATTGAGGTGAACAAGCGCCCCAGGGCAGCACCAGTGTTTCCTYTAACGCGCGCGAGCGCTACTGTTTGGTAATAATTATTATCCTGTGTACCTACATAATACAYGGCTGTTGAATCAAACCGATTGATTTCTAAAATATATATACCAATAAATAAACATAAGTGTTTATATATATAAAGTTTATATACATTTTTATTCATATATATATTTATAGTGTATTTATCAATTGAAAAACTACCACAACATCAATTTTTGGATCCTGTGCGTGAACCTTTTAAACGATATTAACGATTGTGACCATATAAGGCAGACAGATAACACTTTACAAACTGTATAATAATATACAATAATATAATACTACGACTGTTGCTGCTGCTGCTACGAAATACTACAAAAATATAAGTATAACAGTGTACTATCTGTTGAACCAAAGTA